TTGAAAGAAATGTTTAATAAAGTAAACAAATAAATATTAAGCTTTTTTTTTTTTTTTTTTTTTTTTTTTTTTTTTTTGTAAATTTTGATACCCTTTAGATCATAATTGTTCTTTATTTCATAAATTACGGTTTCATATTTTTAATTTTATAATTTCTGCATGCCATCTTACCAAATTTAAACTAATGATCTATAATCCGGAAAAATCAATAATCCGGAATCGCTGAAGTCCGGACGAGTCCGGATTAACGACTCTTGACTGTACTATTAGCAAGTGACTGTTGTTGCAAAAATGGATGAGTATATATAAATCAGTTAAGACTATTTTAATTTCCTTGTAAAGGAATTTCTAACATAAAGGAAGTATTGTAATCGTGAAAAATTTTGACTATCATATTTGAACAGAAATATATCATAACAATTCAAATTCTCCTTAAGCTCAGTTCTCTTGGCCTGTGAAAAACCACCTGTACTACTCCACTAGAGAACTCATACAGAAGAACTCTGCAGGTAATACATGCTGAGTTTGTAGATCACTTAGAGGTATTTCTACATTACCAGAAGTGCACTGCTAGGAGATGGCTCTGCATTGCACCCTGTGGATTGTTTTTTAGTTTTGCTATTCTCTTTCATTTTTGTTTGTTCTGTCTGTATGTATTTGTCTTTGTAATCCGCCATTAGAAATAAAATTTTAAAAAAATCAACAAAAATATCCATTTTGACCATTCCTGTATCCATTCGAGCAATTTTCTTGTATGATGTCTGTGCATATGGACAGAATAAAGGACTGTTTTTTTCAAAGTGGATTTAAAATTTCTTTAAATACCTTTACTATCTGTATGTACATATGTATAAATGTTATGCATGTATCTCACTTAACTCAAAAACGATTAGACATAGAACATTGAAATTTTGAGTATGGGACTGCAATAATATTTAGTTGTTCATTTTTCTTTTTCTTTATTGCAATCGGCAGAACCAAACACATACATACATATATATATACCCACCCCCTTATTTGGCTTAAAAGTCTTTACCTGATCTTTATTTTTGAAATTGTTAGCCATACTTATATAGTTATATACTTCCAATTACACAAGTGTTTTTTTAAATGGTGAAATTTTTCCTGTTTTGGCAATGTAAAATTAAAAAAATCAATTTAATTTTCAACAAATAACGAAATCTAACTTAATGTGGTCTTCCAGTTTTTTATACATATATTTGGGAAAGTTTTATACTTGTTTATGAAAAAAATAAAGTTAGAAAATGTTTGACTCCTCTATGACAACTGGGATATTTTAATTTCAAATTTTGCAATTTTTGATATCATCTTTCAACTTGCCTTGACAGATTGGTTATTAAAATTAAAATAATTTGAGGAAATAAGTTTAAATGAAGTGTAGCAAAGAATGTATATAATTTAATAGGCTGTACAAGAAAGTCATGGTGACCATGTCAGTTTTTTTTTTTTTTTTTTTTTTTTTTTTTAAGTGTCACTCTGTGTATTTAATATGCACATCCATGCACAGACATATATATAGACATAAAAAAAAGAAGGGGAGGTCAATTATTTGGATTTTTTAAATTATTTGGATAACTTGTGGTCTCAGTTAATCCAAACAGTTAGAATCAGAAAGCATGGCTTTAGAATTTCTAAGTGTCTTACGTGAGGCTTAGCAGGAGGGAAAACTATAATTTATTTGATAGAGTGTGACAGCTATGTATGTCGGTGTTTTTTGTTAATCACAGTAAAAGTATAAACATTTCTTAACTACATTTTTTAAAAGGGATGCAAGTGTAAAAATCATTTGCACTCTAATTATTGATATAATTTAGAAAGTCACCAAATGTATGTTTTTTCTTTCCCTAAAATACCATATATTTCTGAATATCATCTGATCTGTGTATAAATTAAATAGTAAGATTTTGCGAAAACGGTCAAGCCAGAATTGAAAAATCCATGTATAATCTGAATTTAAAATCATCCTACCAATCTAGCAATATATTGTGAAAAATTCAAATGATTGGTTGTCTAACATGGCTAAATCTATCAGACCTGCTGAAGGTAAATGCATAGTCTTTGTCTTTTCAAAAATTAGGCTGGAAATGATGGTCTGATCATTCAAAAAATATCATGTCAGCAGTGCGAGAGAAACAGAATGGGATGTGATGTTAATAATGAAACAGAATATTTTGCCATCCAACCAGGATGTAAATATAGCAGAGATTTCTAAGGATTGTTAGAAAATTTCCACTGGATACAGATATTGAGAAATTTAATTGATGTACATAAGGAGTAAATAAAATAAAATTATTTGCCGTTAATTTAATATTTTTTTTTTCAGTTATACATTTTTCTTTTCAAATCAATCTTGAGTAATTTTAAACTTGTATATCATATAAGCTGGCTCAAAAACATCGGTAGTAAAAGATTTGTTAAAAATTCTGAGCTTGTACATGGAAATATATGATAGTTGTTTCAGAAAAATTCAGTAAAAATCATAAGTAGCATATACCTGACATTTTATTATATGTATATTTGCACTTTTCCAGTTATTTTAGATATATTCTGTTATGGTTTGATTTTGAATTTATTGATAAAATCAAGGGTAATTTGTAATCATAAAGAATCTAATAGTGGGATTAACATTTATCCTATATTAAAGACTAAAGTTGTAGTAAATTAATCATAAATTGTTCAATTAAATTGAGATGTCTGAAATTTCCTTAAAATGAACCCTTTAGAATTAATTTTGACTGAAGAATTAAAAAAATGAAAATTTTCATGAAAGGAACATTCATAAATATCTGAAGCTTAAAAAGAGTGAAAAGATTTCTTGGTTGAAAAAGCTAGGTTGTCTAGAATTTAGCTTTGTTTTAAAAGGGTTCCTCCACCTGATCTTTGTAAAACTTGGAAAATGGGGTCCTGTACATGGTTGACATAAATGAAAACCTAGTTGTTTGGCAGTTTAATCGCATACTTTGTGACATGTTTCTGGCATTTGGCAACATTGCTGTGTCATTTATCAAATTGTTTATTTATCTTGACTTCATTTGGCAATTCTGCTGTATAAAATTTAAATTTATAATATTTTGATCATTATAAGCACTGTATTTTTCATGCTTTCATATATACAAGTCAGTACAACTTCGGTAATTTGATAACAGTATCAAATGATAGCATTAACTGTATCACATTAAGCACCACCTTCTGTATAAAATAAGCATAAATCTATTATAATAAAGTGAAAACTCTATATGGTGCCAATTATGGTGAGAGAAATATAAAGATAAATCTTATCTACGTAACATTATTTTATATTCTATACTGTAATAATAGTTTTGCAGACACCTCCTGTTTTTAACATAAGTGGTGAACTGATTAATAGCTGGTGATTTGATCAAAATATCATATAATGTTCAGTTTATTTATTTGAATAGTTTTTCAATCCATTAAATTGGTTATTGTAATAATTTCTTATTTTTTTATGTGTTTAGTACTTCTTTATATTGTAATTTTTTAATATCTTCTTTAGATATTTATTACTTTTTTATTGTCCTTTATATAGTAGTGCAAATTAAATTGTGCCGAAGTCTTATATAAACTGCCTAAAATTACTGCCTCCAATTACTCTTAGTTCTGCCACAACTGAAAGCATAAACTTTCTTAATGAATTTATTGCAGATCATTGCAAAAATATATAATTTGTCTCTTTTAATAATCTAAATAGCTGGTACAGTGTTTGCTAACTTATTCTTTAATGAGCTTCCCTCTTATTAACTCTTTATTCATAAAAAGTTATTCTATGGTACTTATAAAATACAGTCAAAAGTCTTTAATCCGGACTCGTCGGGACTTCGGCGATTCCGGATTATCGATTTTTCCGGATTATAGATCATCAGTTTAAATCTGGTAAGATGGCATGCAGAAATTATAAAATTAAAAATATGAAACCGTAATTTATAAAATAATGAGAAATTATGATCTAAAGGGTATCAAATTTACCCAAAAAAGAAGCCTAATATTTATTTGTTTTTACTTTATTAAACATTTCTTTCAACGCGCGGATGCGTAAAGCATACCTTACGCGTAGCCGAAATTAGAAAATTGCAACCAGAAAAACTATTTGATTTGTATTCGTGATATTTATAATGACGACGACGAATTTGATTTAAATCATATCAAAGACGGAGTACACCGAAATTAAATACTACATTTAGTAAGGAATTATAAGCCGAATAAAATAAAAACATCTGCCCTGAAGATAACGATAGTGTTGAAAAAAAAACTTCCAGTTCATTGCGCGCCGCGACGTCCCCCCCCCGCGCAGAGCAGCGTGAAATTGATAAACAGATTTCGGAACGGTTAGATAAACAAAGAATATGCCTTTATCCATTTTTTGTAGCAATTCATTTTTTGTTTGATGGACATCGAAACATACTTTCGTTTTCTAGATCCTTTGGGAGCTCCAGCATCGGAAATTCTATTTGACATAATCGAAAGTTCAAGCTTACTTTTAGAAAATTGCTCTTACAGTCTGCAAAAAAAAATAATAAGCCGGATCCAATTCGAAGATTTAAGAACAACGCAATCATCAACATTAATTGAAATAGATAATTAGATAATTTTAGCTTATACCGTCCGTTATATATTAAACGCGCACGCGAAAACGTATTCTGCACTTGCGCAGAGACGCATATGCGCAGTGGTAAATGTCTTGCGCGCACGAGTAAAACGCCTATGCGCATGCTTCAATGCGGCGCATGCGCAGAAAGATTTTAGCTTTGCGGTCCGGATTATAGATCATTCCGGATTATGGGTGTCCGAATTAACGACTTTTGACTGTATATTTTAACATGGTTCTTCTGTAATGAAGAATTAACTTTATTCAATGACAGTTCATTTTCTTTTTTACTCTTCATTTTAGAAGTGAGGATTATATTTTCTGTTCAACCTTTTTATGTGTATTAAAATGACATAATTTTTTGGATTCTTTATAGTTTGCAGAAAGGATATGCAACTACTTTCAGCCATAACAGGCATAAAGCAAATTGCTTGACAAATATAAGAAATTTTCATGTCAGTTATCCAAGATCGGATTTAATGGAGTTTTTTGATGACCCTAAAAATTGGGGTGAACAAGAAGTCAGAACAGGTATATTATGAAATATTTTGATATTCAAATAAAAGTTGGCGTATAAAATATTTCATGTTTGTATTAAAAATGATATTGAAACACATATTATTACTTTGAAATATTTAAGAATTATTTCACCATATTGAATTTTTAGAGTTCATTCATTACATTAGAATACAGTGGAACTTCAGACCTGAAACAAATTCAATTCACCAGCAAATTTTCTGAATGAAAAATGTCTCACATGGCAGATGATGTCTTGAGATACAAACAATTAGGCCAGCAGCAATGAACTCTAAAAATTTATATTTATCTCCATTTTCCTGTATTTTCTAATGCTTTCTTCTTTTTTCTCTCAAAGCCTGTTTGATTACTGCCGCCAACAGTGATGATGAAATCAGCATATCCTTGAAAAGTGACATCATTCCCTAACTTTAATGCAGTATTATCCGTGTTCCACAAAATTTGACCTAAAGTAGATCCTTAATGTGTGCCTTTGTAATGTGACTCTGTGCTAGTAGTTTATCTAAAACTTTGCCCCACCTGGAAAGAAGGCAAATTGGTCAGAAGGCACTAGGATCTGATTCATTTTTTCCTTTTTACTTCCTTGTACGAAGTTTGAAATTTTGTATATAGGACTGCTATAACATGTAGATGTGCACCTCGTATTTTGGTTGCAATCGGCCGCACCGAACGTATATAAATATTATATTTATATATATATCCACTCTGTTACCCGGCACAGTGATCTCAGTTTCTTTACTCTTATATGTTTGTAAATTGTATATTTTTTGCTTTAAAAATGATTGAATTATGTTGTTCTTATCTTCCGGTTAAGGTTTTTATGCCTTTCGTAATTCTGGAAGCAATATTTGTACAATTATCAACAATTTAAAAGCTGTTTAAGTGCGGTTAAGTTTTAAATAACATGGCGGACAAATTGTTTACATTTGAAACAGCAGAATTGTAGATTTGTTGCCAATCTGGAGAGACTAAGCTTCGCAACAACAAAAATAACGCCTTCATTTATTATTGCAAATTAAATCATGCTTAATCCTTTCTGGATATTTTTCGAGGAAATAAGTGTTTAAGATTTACTTAATTTTTAATAATTAGTAATTTAATTTTTAATAATTAGTAATTTTTAATACAGATATTTTGAGCTTTTTTGTATTTTTGTCTTGTCGCGAAGTGAAAACTGAATTAATTGAATGAGAAATACTCAATCGTCTGTGAAAAACTGTTTCTTTTTTATTTTGTTTGCTTAATTTCCTTTTTACACCGTTCTAGCTTTATTACAGTATTTGAAAAGAACATGTGGCAATGATTAGATAATTCTTTAAATGATATACATTTTGTGCATTCTGAGTTATAATATGAATGAAATATAATACTGTTAAGTAAACCTAGCGCAAGAGTGTCACTATGGCAAACAAAGTGAATTTTAAAGAATGCATTTATTCAATTGTGGTTTATGCACTGTCGGCGAAGTAGATTTAATTAAATCCAATAAGTTTAAAAGAAATGCGAGAAACATGCGTATAATTTAATATTCCGTACAAGGAAGTCATGTGGTGTACACATCAGATTTTTTGATAAGTGGCACTAGTGACTTTTAGTCACTCAGGAAAATAGCTAAACTTGAGGCAAGAGTTCATGATATGTAAGAAAAGTATGCTATTTGCCAGGTGAAATTCTTCAAGTAATTCTAAAGTAATTCTATCGATACCTGGTGCTCTACTTTTATTTGCCATTTAAAAGATTATAAGATCTTTTCTCCCTCCTTCTGACATGCCTTCATGGTGTAACGGTAGTACATTTGGCACATATTTGACAGGTTCAAGTGAGGGCATTCCTTATTTTTCACATTTTTAGCATAAAAAATTCACATTGAGTCTACAAATGACACCCGAACTAAAAGGTGATGGACAATGATTTTTGTCACCACCATGATTTGGCGATTGGGTTCCCTAATTCCCAGTCGCCCTTTAAAAAGGGGAGTATATAAGGTATTTCCTCCCTTCTTCTAGCATGCCTTTGTGATGACAGCGATATGGAGTGTTCCTTGCACCCTTCCGTATCAGCCGATAAATACGGCAACTTTAAGTTTTTTGTAGTAGTGCAGAGGGAGTACAGAGGCCGGCTGTTTGAGGAGTAGTAAGCTCATTTGAAATCTTGAAATGAAGATCAATTTTTACTGCTGAAAGTTCTTGATGAATATAGTGAGAATATTTAAGTGACATGGGCAACTAGAATCCCATAGGATAAACAAACGATTACCACATTGGTGACATCTTGACTTTGCTAAATCAGGCCATGTGAAAAGTTTGCAAGTACTTTCAGTTTTGAGGGCTAACTATCTCAAGACCGCCATACCAGAATCTATGGATTAAATCGATTTTTAACCTCCTTACCACAGATGAGTAATAATTATAGATCATTTTATAATTTTGTTTTTTATTTATCATTCGTATTTTATTTTTTTAGCAGAATTTTTACTTTTATTTGGGCTTAAACCTTGCACAATGTCTGATGTACATGCTGTCCAAATTCCGGTTTATAACTGATCAGACCCATCCTTATGGTTTATTATGTGTGAACGTACATTTGCTGTTGCCACCCACAAACCTATTACAAAATCAATTACTAAGTATAATTATGTAGTTGCTCGTCTTCCTCCAGATATTGCGTCATTAGTTCGGAATTTACTTGTGAAACCAGACCCTACTGATCCTTCTACAAACTTAAAAACTGAGTTAATAAACTGATCGGGAGAATCTTCACAGCAAGAAATTCACCAGGTATTAGCTGGAGAGGAACTAGGCTCTTGAAAACCGTCAGATTTGCTTAGGAATACAAAACAACGAGTGGAATCCGTAAATGATCCCCATAACTTAATATTAGAATTATTCCTTCAGCATTTTCCTTCTGCAGTTCAGTCTGTTTGGCAGTGTCTGGGGCATTTAAGACCATCAAGAAGCAATTATGCATCCCCACTTCACATGGTTCCAAAAAAAGGGAACTTTAGCATGGAGATCTGTAAAGCCCCGTTCACATGCAACGCTCCTTCGCACAGCTGCCGTTAGCAAGGGGAGAAAAAGGAGACATGAAAGAGTTTCGTCTTTAGGACCCGTTCAGAAGACCACCGTCTTCCTTCCCCTTTACACCTAAAGCCTCTGTGAACAATCACGTCTCCGAATTGGCAGATTTCTAATACTGTTTGCACATTTTTAACGTGGTTTACTGTTATTAATTTTGTAATCTGTACTTTCGCAACTGGTACCTGAACTTTCGTAATGGTTCCTGAAAAATATATGCTTTTTAATTATATTATTTATTTTATAAGCTGTTATTTAGTTCACTCTTGGTGCTTGTCGCTATGGTTAAAAGATGGTAATGGATTTTTTAAACTGCTTCCCGATAAAATATATAACTCAAACTTTGTACATACACTGCTTGTGAATGTGGTGTCACGCTTTTGATTTTTAGAGGATTAGATTTTTTTCAAATTTAAAGTTGAAACGACTTTTGCAAATATTAACTAATAAACTGAGAATCTCAGAGTATTATAGTTTGCACCATAACACACTGTGGAAGAAAAAAAAATTAAATGAAATTTTTAGCGTAATTTTAAAAAAAATATTTTGGGAGAATTTTTGAAAATCGTTCATATTTTTAGACTTTTTGACGCCCATTAATTTTAAAATTTCATATCTAAAAATATATCGGTTACAAACTTCCGACATTTTCACAGCTTATAAAACAAGCTTTCGCATTAAAAAAAATGATAAAGGAAATTAATCGGATGATTTTTTTTTTTAACTTTTTGAAAGATATGCAATAAAGCAGAATGGGAAATATTGGTTCTTCTTGGGCTTCAATTCGAAACATCGGTTTCAAAGTAATAATCTCATTATACCACATTATTTTTATGACATTATTTATGCTATATAAGTTGTTATTATTACCAGTTGTTAGTTCAGCGTGAGATTGGAGATATTTCTTACGTTCTTATTAGATTGAAGCATAACTAACACTGATATACTTAGTGATATTCTAAAACTTGTACGAGTATTTCTGTGGAAAATTCCAGAACTTTGAAGTGTTTATGATGATAAAATAAATTTAATTAAGCTATCGTCGGATTTGAGTGAAATGACAATCATTTACGAATTATTATCATCATCTATTACAAACCCGTACGCACGCAACAATATTATAATTAATTAATGTTGTATTAAAGTTGTTTTGAACGTGTTTTACAAAACAAAAACAGGTAAATAAGAATTCTGCTTGCGTTTTTATGAGTTTTTGCAATTTTTCTGGCCACATAAGGTTTTAAAAAAAGGTTGTAATTTATGTTTATATTTACCAATTGAATAAATAGCACTAGGTTTGATTTATATACATATGTGTGTATCGAAATTCAGTAATAAAATTTTAAAGATTTGAAATGATTAAATATCTATTTAGACAGTTTGTATTCTTTAAACTGCAAATGCAAACTGAGAAACCTTTTGCACTTTTTTCAGTAAATCCTTTTACTTAAAGTCCTAAAACATATACAGGTATGGACTAAATTTTTTATTATTTTTACTGCTTATATAAAATTATATACTTTATAGAAACAAGGATGGGTTTTGCAAAATACTGAAAGGAAAAAATTATTTGAAATGAAAATGTGACTGAGATCATATTTGTTTTAAAGATTTTAGATAAAAGCGTATTTTCCCCCCTCAGAAACTGATTCATTAATTGCAAAATCATTCCTTGGAAGTTATTAAGAACACTCTAATAAATAGAATAAAAAACTGGGAGACATTGAAAATTGTAGGAGAAGAAAGACATTTTAATTGTAAAATTTTTCTTCAAAAATTTAAATTAAAAAAATACTAGCAAAAACGCTTTTTCAGCTTAAAATTATTTTGTCTCACAAAACTATTTAATAATATTCATAAAAAGTAGATGAAAATGCTTAAATTTTTTTAAAAAAATCATTCAAAAGATACTGAGTCCCT